GTTTGTCTTTAGTCTTCGTCCTTGTTTTCTGTTTTCAAATAAATTGCATTTATTTGCAACGACTACGTTCGTGCGGATAGGGCGCAGGGTAGGCAGAGGCTTACAGTAGTGTTTAGGAGTGCCGTTTCCGATACTATGTTGTATAGATCATATTTCTTTGTTCTCTCTTTTTTCCATTCGGGTTTTTTCCCAGTTTCGTTTCAGAGATAGATGGAGAGACCCTGTTTTTTTGCATGCAGTTTAGCCTTTTCAGTCGCACCGTGCACATCTCCTTCTTTTCAATTCTTTGTCTGTTTTAATTTGTATTTTCAGATAAAGATTTTCGCAGATACAAGACTACTTTCGTCACACGTCGATACCGAACAAGAATTCTCAAAGATTCAAGAATCAATATGTCAACAGGAAGGGACTTAGGACCAAGCGGCAAACCAAAGCGTCATTTCAGTCCATCAAGTCGCAAAGATGCTAAAAATGCGGCACAAGAAGCTGGCAAAGGCGAACCACCTATTCATCATCAAGCTCATAAACCTGGACAGCAAGCGCATTTTCATCCAGCTGACAAAGATGGCAACAAAGTTGAAGATGGATCACACTATCAATATGGTAAAAAAGCGAAATAAAGACTCAGACATGTATTGCTAATGTTGCAGGCGTCTTATTTCTAGTCTTTTTATGTAACTATGATATATGACTTTTCTGCTTTTATGATTGCTGGCTTACTCCCACATAGGATTCAAAAAAAATGCGCATAGACTCAAAAGTCATCTGCAATATACAGTTCTAACGGATATCCCTATTTCGGATCTTCATCCATCTCTGTTTAGAAGATATGAATTAAGTTATCTGAATTCAAAATCACGCAACCTAGTATTACATGAACGACTGAATAATATATATCGATTATAACATATTGAATCAGATAGAAAATCACAGGTCATGTTATCCTTTGTAAATGTTTGAGTTTCATATTGCGTTTCGGTTAAACATTTAAAATATTTCATTTAAATATTTGAATTAAAGTATCATATTTAGGACAAACACGGTGCGTTATTGTGGCTTTACACTTATTTTCCTATAAAATAATATAATGGATGTGAGCATTTCCTTGAATAACTCGCATACAAAAAGAGCTAGAGAGGTCGAGTTTGTACTAAACAAAAGAAGAGAAGCTGGGAAAAAACCCGAATGGAAAAAAGAGAGAACAAAGAAATATGGTCTATACAACATAGTATCGAAAACGGCACTCCTAAACACTACTGTAAGCCTCTGCCTACCCTGCGCCCTATCCGCACGAACGTAGTCGTTGCAAATAAATGCAATTTATTTGAAAACAGAAAACAAGGACGAAGACTAAAGACAAAC